AGATGAATCATTGCAAGTGTTCTTTCCAGCAGCGAGAGCTAGTTTTTGACCATTTGTCAAGATCTTTGCTGCTGCTTGTCTGCAGCCAGAGGCTTCCTGTCACTGCTTGCCGTAGCACCGAGGGCAGCTGGACCTTGGTTTGCCCCCAGCCTCCCTTCCCCAGCCCTGAGCCGCGCTCGGCCACCTGCGCTTCCCTCTCGCTGCAACACCACAGCTCTGTCCACACCAAAGCAGGGCAAACAGACGTGCCAGGGTGTACACAAACACAGCTCTGTCCTGGTGCAACCCCTCAGGAGGCTCATGTAAGGACAATGCACGAGCACATCCGTAAGGAGAATGAGGTAAGAAATGGGTGAAAGGGAGGTGGAAGTAAAAGTTACTTAAGCAAAGAAAGAAGCTGCCAGCTTCAGAACCCAACAGCAGCTTTGTTTGAGAATATAAAAGTTCCTCCTTTTACATGCAATGAGGCAGTCTCATCTCCCATGCAGAAATTCAGTCCTGTTCCCCTGAATTTCTATTCTGTACAGACAAAGGGGATCAAAAGCTTGGCTTCACAAGTGATCCAAAGAAGGTTAAGCTTGAGTGAATGAGGCTCAAGGCAAACAAAAAATTCTAGCTTTTCCTCATTGGAAAGGGCTTGTATAAAGGCAGAGATGTAGCCTGTCTGTTGCAGGTTCTTTGAACAGGAACACAGGGCAGGACAAGTAAATGTAACAAAATGATACCTTATGTTCTGCACATTCCACTGAATGCTTACCTGTGTAAGAATGGTCAAAAAAAGAATTTTCAGTAAACAGGGCCTTGAAGAGTAGACTGTGACTCCTGCTGTTGTTACAGTACCCCATCTCACCTTTAGCAAGATTTAGCCCCAGTGTTTTTGCATTTGACCTTCCCTTTTGTGGGGCATGGGGGGAAAGCTGAAAGGAGGATCATTTCTACAGATTGGGAGGTAGACATTACTCCGAGGTGACTGCTGCCATTAGCAGGTCATGGCTCCCAGGCTGTATGAAATGAAGAAACCATGAGTGGAGGCAGAGGAGAACAGTTCTGCCAGCTTGAGCTAGTCTGGTCCTGGGGAGAGAGCATTTGTGCTCTACAGCTGGGGGCCTGGAGCTCAAATGCTCCCCCCAGGCAAAGACACCTCCCAGGGTATGTAAAGCACTTGGACAAAGGTGCCCTGGGACTGGGGCAGCAAAGCAGCCAAGTCAGCTGGGACCAGCAGCCCTTTGGATGGGGAGCAATAACCAAACAATCTCTAAATCCTTCTGGGCTCTTATATTCGCTGTATATGTGACATGGTTGCCATCGCCTTTCCCACTCTTCAAGTTGTTCAGTTTCTGTATGCCTGGATGAGAGGCAGATAGAGCTGCCAACTTGCTTCATGGATAAGGGTGAAATCCGGTGCATTTTGTCCAGCATACACAGGAAGTCTGCAGCAGAAAACTGAATCCAGGATCCCCTGGTCACAGGCTAAATGCTAAAGCAGATGGGCTATTCATCCCCAAAGTTAAGCCCCGTGTTCCTGCCACATCTTTTGAGACACTTGCACTCTGTTTGCGTGTGCAGACAGTTTTATTTTGTCTCTGGTCTGGAGATGAAAGTAGCTTTTGAGCAAAAGGACTGGAATGTCTGCCCATGGCAATCCTGAGCTATGCAGAGCTTGTCTCTGAGGCCCAGTCTTGTTTATATAGAAGCTTGATTAAAGATGAGTGAGAAAAAATGTTCAAGGGTATGAAAAACCCTTGTCTGTGTTTAAAATCATTAACAGAGTGTTCTTCCCTGTCATGGTGCTTGAGTAGCCAGACACCCTGTTTGATTCACACAACAGAAGCAGAGCTTCAGGGTTGGAGTTTAACATCAACCACAGTAAGGGCTGGAGCTCCCTTAGTGGCAGAGAAGAGGTGTGAATTCAGTAGCTGAATATGAAGTTCATCCTGCTGTGAGAAGTGAAACTAAAATTCCGTTTTCAAGTGTTTCTGGGCAGGAAGATTTGAAATTATTTTCCTAAAACTATTCTTAAAGCCTAGTGTGTTTGAATTGATAGTGTTGTGTTTTCAATTCAAACTGAAATCCATGATAGGATCCTGAGCCTATAGAAGAAAACATCTGTGAATTTCAGGTAAAATTCTAGACTTCTAAGAAGTTTCGTGTGACATTGTTTCCTCGGGCTGTTTGTTTGTGGAGGTTGTTGGGTTTTCTGTTTGTTATTTTTTAAGAAGAGCTAGGTGTTTGAATTTGGCTGTTTCTCATTCTTGTGCCTACCAAGACTGAAAAAGCTGTTGAATGTCACAACAATGTAGAGAGATGTGTCTGAACTCTGCCTTTTAGTAGCCCCTAATTTTGCTGCTTGATGCCTTAAGGATGTAGTGGAAGGAACCATCTAAGTTCCAAAAAAATATGAGTAATATATTATTAAAAAAGAAAAAATGTTTACAGGTGGGTCTCAATGCTCTACCAGTGCACAGTCACATCATGCTAACATAAGAAGCAATTCTGAAGTGCATTCTTATTTCTAAACTGGCCTTCATGGCCTTTATTTGCTTGTACTTAAATGTCTAGTCACTACTGACTCTCCCACAGGCAGATTGGAGGGTCATGACCTTGCTCCTATTTCAAGGTTCAGTAGGAAGCCAAACATGGAGGAAATATATGTAGTCTTTGGCAGAATCTCAGGTCTTGTGTGTACAGAAATCTTTTTTTCCCATCCAGTTTTTGCTTTTTGCAGACTCAAATAGAAGTATAAATGGGTTTTTTTCCCCCTAAATACTCACATGAAAACTATCTGTGGAGGTTTAGAAAGCAGCTGGTCCAAAGTAACATCTTAGGGAAGGGGACTTGTAGTCAGGTCCCTGTGGTGCAGTGACTCCTTGTGAAGATGGTGACACCAGTTTTGCAGATGTCCAGTAAGTCATCTTCATCCTCTGCTTATTGTGCTTCTAGTGGCAATCTTTGTATGGTTAGTGCAGCTAATTCCACTGCATTTACAGTTTGTGATTAAGACAAACTCCTAAGACAAACTTCTGGTCTCTTCTTGCCCTTCATGGCTTGGATGGGCAAAATCTCAGGTGATCTCTTTCAGCATAAGAACAAGATTTTTTTTTTTACCTTGACCAACCTCAGTTGTTTGCTGGTGGTGGGACCCATAAAATAAATGTCTTTTTGAGGCTGTTTCCTTCCTTTGAAGAATGCTGACCTAGCTTGAGCTCAGGCCATCCATCTACCAAATGCCACATCCTGAAATGAATTTCTGATGTGTATTGAGGGCTATGGAAAGCCTCTTTCAGTCATATCTCCCATGAAATACTTGATTGTCAGTAGATCTGCTGGGTGAGGTGCAAGAATTAGACTTCACAACCTCTGCTTTCACCACGAGGCTGAGTATGTTGGTAAAAAATATTTAGGCAGTGACAGGAACTTCACAGACTGCAGTTTCCTGCACAGACAATTTTGTATGCAAAGGATGAAGTATGTCATGCTTGCAGTGGAATATGGTGGGACATTGATCTGTTCAGATGCCTGCATCCTAGCCTTGAGCTAGAGAGCTGTTCTCTTATATACCTTAAGGAATATGAATAATTCAGTAAATTAAAAACTGGGAGACTGTCCAAGAGGATTTGGTCACATGTGGGGGAAAAGCATCATTGCTTTTGTTTCTTAAGCTGCACGACTAGTCCCTGGTGGCTGTTGTTTCTCCTCTTTACTGAAAGACTGCCTCAGTTTCCCAGTTTAGTGAATTGCTTCTCGGAGAACCACAAAATACTTCCCAACACATCTCATCTTACCACTTCTGCTTTGCAAACCAGTAAATGTTCCGTGAGTGTGTCAAGGCAAGAAAACAATTAATAGCAAGAAAAAGTACTTCCTTGGCTTGCAGGCAGCTCCCAGCTTGCTTCTTTCCCCAGATTAGCAAGGATTTAAGAAGCACATGTTCTGTGTATGCTAAATCAGCTCTGCAGAAACCACAGCATACCATCATCCTGCTCTTATCTCTGAATTCCACGGGCAGGCAATCTCAGCTGCTCAGCACAGGCTGGCAGCTTCAGCATGCTGGTAGGTGCTGAAAGCCATGCAAGTGTGGAAATGGCAGTGACACACAGCTCAGATGTTATCTCCACAGCAAAGCCAAAGGCAGTTTCCATGGTGAGGGAGAAGCTCCAGGCCACTGGGGATGCAGCTGCTGAATTGGACAGGATCAGTAGCCTTTTTATACAGAGGCTGTTCTAATAAAGCTTTTATGTGTTTATGTGGCACTCACTCAGTTGTATCGAGCTCTGGAACATAAAATAAAGGATGAGGGGAAGATGTAAATTGTTGGAGTGAGTGCTGATCTAAAAATGAAACAGGAAAAGCAGGGCCAAAATGTTTCAAGTATTGGAGTATCCACAAGGGACAATTTTTTGTGACAGCTTGAGTGAATTTAACACTCTGGTCAGTGCTTTTCTGAGATGTTGCACACCAGCATTAATAGCTCCTGAAGTTTTTACATCAAGTGGAAGAGTCAGAATCATATCCCCAGCTCTTAACTTTGTTCTGAATTGGATCCAAAACCAGAATGGGTCTCTTTCTCTGCAGAGATTATAAATATCCCAGAGACTTGGGGAAAGTGGACTTCAACATCTCAAGCATTTTAAAATGTCTTAAACTTCACTTGGTCCCTCTTTTTGGGTAAAAATCTCTCAATACCAAAGTACAAGTATGTGGAATTAATGTCTTACTTTTCCTATAGAGTCTTATGGCTTGTGCTTTCACTTTTGTTAGTGCTGAGACAGCAGATACATCTCCAGGTTTCCCACACTGGAAATACATGTTTTGCACTTCTGCTTTGATCTTCTATCAGTCTGTGCTCTGTAGGTGCTGCAGCACATCAGCAGGAATTGTCTGTAAAACTGCTCAATTAAAATAATAATTTGATTATTTGGACCGAGATTTTTGGTGGTGTTAAACTTTGGTTGCTCTCTTCTGAACTGGATGCTAAAAGAGATTTGTATTCTGTCTTTCAGGTGGTGCAGGGGACCGGGAAAAGATGCCTGTCAATCATGAGGCTTTCCTGCTCATGGCTAATTCCCAGAATGAAATGGAAGATTGGGTGAAAGCCATCCGACGGGTTATATGGGCTCCATTTGGTGGAGGTATTGCAAATAGCTCACATGCACATAAATTAAAACATTTGCCTCAAGGTAAAACATATTCTTGTGATACTAGGATATGTGTAACACTGTGAAATCACTGAGATGTCTAGATAAGCTCTTGATTGTCTGAAGTGTTTTGAAGCAAGGGTTGGGGTTGATTTTTTTATTTATTTTTTGGGAGGTTTTTTTGCTAGGGGATGGACAGGAATAAAAGTGGAGTGCACATCCACAGTGTATAACTGTCTCAAAAATAGGTGGTATTAACAAACACACCACTCTTGTCAGTATTCAGTTCTTGACAGCAAAATATTCTGTGGAGCTTATGGGAATGGAGGATTCTGTCCAGTTATCTCAGTTTTCTTCAAGGGCAGATGCCCATCTTGAACATCCATACAGCCAGAGACAGCAAAACTGCAATTGAGTTAATGTAGGGCCCAGCTGAAAAGGCAAAGCTTCCCCTGGCTTCACTGGGGCTGCAGCCTGAGGAAGAGCAGGGTCAGGCTGAGGGAACACCTGTAGGGTAATACAGCTGTTGACAAACCCTGTAGTTAAAATGAACGCAACATCCAGACTTTCACTGTTGGTATTATACCACAACCTTTGAATTCTCAAGTCAGTAGATTAGAGAGGAGTTGTTTTTCTGGTTTAGCATAGAACAAGGACTCACAGATGTTTTCTTCTGGGTTTGGTGTTGGTGATAGCAGCTACTGGCCTAGTACAGGACACTGTGCTTTGAAGTGACTTGGGTGCTACTGATGGAGTTCATGCAAATAGTGGTATCGTATGCAGATAGTGCTGCCAACCTGTCTTGAGAGGTACAGATTAAAAAGTGCCAGATAAGGATTAGGTAATACAATTACCCTTGCTGAAATGAAGTTACTAGTTTTCCTAGATCTAGGGGGGAAAAAGTGACCTTGATGTACAAGGCCCAGTATTTGTTAGTCACTTTTGTCCTGTGTTTAGGTTTTTTTTGTTTGTTTTTTTGGTTTGTTGTTTTTTTTGTTTGTTTCAAGTGACTCTTGAACTTTGGAGTCTCTGGCTAGCATCACTTGGTTTGTCTGGAGGAGATACAATCTCTACTGATGCAATTCTTTCCAAGGTCCTTTTTTCACTTAGCAGAAAAGGTGTAGGTACAAAAGTTAGCTTGTGTCTGATCTGAGGTTACATGTGATGCTGTTGTGCTGTGGGCAAAAAACACCTACTTTGCTAGTAGAAAACTGTTCCACCAGAATTTCTCCTCAAACTTGAGTATATGCTTCTTTTGCTCCCCTTCTGAATTCCAGTCCATAGTGAAGAGTCCTTTAGACTGAGGTCAGTGCAGGTCCTCCATCAGAAGTCTCAGAATCTCAGAGCTGGTATTTCTGTAGCCATTTGTAGTAGACTTTATGGTGTCTATTTTATAACTTGACAATGTACATTCAATAAATACTGTGAGGAAAAAGGAGGCATTCAGTCATGATAAATGGTGCACTCTTAGCCATCTTTGGAGCATGATATTGTCAGCACTGCTGGTATCAGTGCAAATTTGGCTTCATGTTTTGCTTGTGTTTTGTCAGTCTCTTGAAGCAATTTCAGAACAAACATCTTTAGGTATTAAGAGAATAAATAATTAAAAACCCTAATATTTTAAAAACAGAAACATGGGAATGGCATAAAGGTAGTGATGGATTCCCTTCTTTTGTTTGTTTGTTTGCTTCTTTATGGGGCTAGTATAGTCCTAATTAATTAGCTACATTTTTTTTACCTTTGAATTTGTCTGCAAAGTGATCAGATAATATTTTGGTCTTTTCTTTTGACGAGGCAGATACTCATACATTGATTCCAGGAACTGGAGCTTTGTGAGGCATCAAAAAACATAAAATGAAATAATGAGAATGGGGAGATAAGAGCGGTGCAATGGGGAATACAGCAGCTTCTGCTTGTTGCTATTTTCACATCCTGCAGACTTGATCTGGTTCAGTGATCAGAGTCAGCAAAGGCTGCTTTGGCTGTTGGTGAGAGGAGCTTAAGCACTGTAGAAGGGAGACACTGGTGTTTGCAGAGGTGGAAAGAATTGCAGTTGTGTATCAATGCTTTTTCTCTATGTGTGGATAAAAACTGGCTGAGGATGTGGGTACGTGCTGGGCAGTCAGTGTAGCCTGAGCTCTCTGCCCTAATACTCAACTGCATTAGCCTAAAGCTAGTTTGAGTATGCCTGCTTTGTAGTCCAAGCTGCAAGAGCAGATTCTTACGTTGTGGCCACTTCTCTGAGCTGGTGAAGTGCCAGCTACTGTCAGGAGTGGTCTTCTACCCCCAGCAGCCATGTGTCCCACCATACTTCATTCTGCTGCTGGTGGTGATGAGCTGTGCAGGAGGAAACGACCTGGCAGGAATTGAAAGGGGAGGAAGGTTGGTTTGTAGGTAGATTGATTCCTTGGCCCTGCTAACCATGCAACACCAGAAATTCCAGCACAGCCTGGGCATAATGGCATGGAGAGGGGCAGGCTTCTTCATTCTGACTGCAGCCCACACATAAACTGGCTTAAAGAAACCATGGAGCTGCATCCTCAGTTTCTTTGCACTTCAGAAAGAATGTATAAACAGTAAATATATTCAAACCGTTGTTCCCAAATGTTTTTTGCCAATTTGGGGAAATGATAATACCTACACCTTCTCCGTCATAATCAGAGCAGGACAGTTTCTCTGAGTGAAATTCCAGGTTAACTCAAATGTGGGAGGACAATAAACATAGCTGTCTCTGTTTTAATGGAATAATTTGAACTCTGCTTTGCCACCACCACTAATTTGGGAGCCAAGTCTTATCTATCAACACTTTTTAATATATTAAGCTAAAGGGAGGAGTTAAAAAGCAGGCTTTGTTATTAATATGCAAATATCCAGCCCTGGAGAAGGTTGATATGGTGTAAAATTGAATTATGCCAAGATAAAAGGGGAGCCTTAACCACACTTTAATCTTTGCTGATGTATTTAAGAAACATAAATAAAAAAAGATTGAGGGTACCTTCTTATGTGTTGATGTGGGCATATGAACTGTGCTTAAAGGTGAACAGCAAAGGCTTCTTAAAATAAAACAAAAACTCCCCAAAGCTGCTGAGGATCACAAATTACTGATAGAAGACACAGTTTTAAAAGCCATATGGAATGTGTTCTTTGAAATATGCTTCAAATGTGGCCTTAAAATAAAAATGTAGACTTCCTAAGTCTTTTGAAGACAAGCTATCTTGTTTATAGGGAAAATAATCTCTAACAAGTTTCCTTGAATTTTATGTTCCTGAATTCTTGAGTCTAGTACATCTCATTTAGAGCAGAAGATTTTTTAAAATGAGATTTGAGAATATTCCAAACATTTTGATTTTCCTTAAGAAAGAAGTTTGTCACAGTGACTTGATGAAAGTGAGTTTTGGAGCATGCTCTGACAAAGGGCGATTGAAACTGTTTTCTATGATCCTTCTTACCTCTGTGACAAATTTTGCTCCAAATTTACACCACTAAAAGCTTATCTGGAGAGTTCCTGTGTGTCCTGTGTGTGAACAGTTGTGCTGTTCAGTGGCTGCTCATTAATGTGAAGTGCTTGTAGCAGTGCCACAGTGCTAAATCAAAGGTCTTGGGTGAGAGTGAGAAGTTCCTTTTTGCGCACCTTCCTCATTCCTGTCTTACATCAGCTGTAAAACAGAGTTAGTCTAGGAGTGAATTTTTAGCCATGAGATACAAAACCTGGGCTTTTTGGTGCCCGAGTTGAATGCCAGGTGGCATAATTCTCTCACAGCTCTGCACACAACCAGCACAGCACGGGGACAGAATCATTCTGTGTTAATCTTGATTTATGTTTGTGTTTGTTTTCTTCTGTTTATATATTCTGTCTTGCCATGAGCAGTTCCTCACTTCTCTGCCAGAAATACATGTCTCAGCCCCTTTCTTTCTCCATTACTTTATCCTAATTTCTCCTCGTCTTCATCCCAAGCTTTCATCAGTTACTTGTGATGGAGGGGAGGTGAAACAGTTGGAAGGGATGTGTTTCCCTTAGGCAAACATGAAGAACTTTACCCTGTGACAAAAGAATTGTGTTGCCAGAGCTTCATGAATAGTTTTTCTACTCAGGAGGAATAGTCACTGTTAAACTGGTGGAGTCTGAGGAAAGGTCCACTGAGGAAGCTGTTCTACTGTCATTAATTCCAGACATCTTTCCCACATAGATAAACCATGATGTGTGGATTCTTATTCTTCTGCCAGCAAACAGTGCAGAGAATGGGTTTTTTGGGAAACAGGGCCCTGTGAAATTATGTCTTATATTAGGGGAGAACTGAAAGATATGGGACAGAGTGTCTGAGGTGTAATTTAATTCTTGACTCAATGTCCTTATGGGTAATGGAAGACTAGCCCTGCATAGGGCTAATTAGAGATCCTGCTTTAGATGAGTAAATATCTTTGAGATAACATCTGCATGAGAGCAAACATGACTGTTTTGAAGGGTCAGTTATTGATATTAGATGCATATCCACCAGGATGCCAAACTATTTAGGAGCTAGGATACAACATTAAGTTTTGGGAGTCTTGAGTTTTAATTTTTCCACCTGTAAGATGGGAGTTTTCCAGTAAGAGCAGCATAAACCTGGAGCCATGTCAGTGAATTTAAGATGCTAAAATTCCACTGAAGAGGTAATGAAGAGGAGAAGGGAGGTGGCTTCTGTTATTTGCCCGGTCTGAAGACAGAGGTGGTTTCTGCTCCGTTTCTTGTTTGTGGGCTCCTGCAGAGTGGCAGCCTCTGTAGGATTCCTGACTGGGTCAGGAGGAGCCACTTCAGGAGGTGTCAGGATGGGCTCCCCTTGTGCAGGCTCCCCCAGGTGAGTGGGGAGTGGCACTGGGTGTTTGTTGTGCCTGATACCTGCTCTTATCTCTGCTCTGAGATAACTGGCGCCTGCTGCAGCTTATCAGTGTTTGCTCTTGCTGCTGTCTAATGCTGGGAGATGGGCCCAGCCAGGGGAAGAGGAAGATGATGATGG